ATATATATATATATATATATATATATATTAATTAATTAATTAAGTAAGTAAATAGTTTTTACTTAATAATTTAAAATTTTCAACTATTCAATGAAATGATCCAACTTTTTAAGTCTTATCTTCTAAATATCGTGATGTGTCTTTCGTAAAACATAAATTTTGTAGTCTATACTTAGGCAATCCCTCGAGAATAATATATAAATTACTAAATTTATTTTCTTTTAATTATTTAACTTCTATATAAGGTAATTAAATTATATGTATTAAGACAGATAAAATAAATAACTAATATATAAGAATTTAAAATACTCATGAAAATATTAAATTTTAAGATGAAGTCCCAAAATCTAATATCTTAAATAGATAAATGAATAATTCAATAAAACGTGACATTGATTTACAAAATAAATTTTCGGGGATGTGGTCCTTCAAATTCTTGCAGTCAATGTTTAGAATTGAAATAACGTGGCACGTGCATGTCACTTTCTAACTAATGGAATCTTCTCATTTTCATTTAAATTGGTCCGTGCAAGTAAAATGTAAAACTAGTTCCTTATAATACACCACATGATTTAACAGCCCTTGTGTATATCAAGCCAGAAATAAGTTATAATCATATTGCACATTCAAACTCAAATTCAGATAGGATATGTGTCGACGTACGATTGAACAATTTGAAAAATTTAGATGAGACATATCAGTCCGTCTCTTTACTCTCCCATTTTGAGCTCTGGACAAATGACTTTATTCAATAAGTTATGAGGAAGCTTATGATGAGATTATTAGCAAGAAATAAGTTAAAAGCAACAGCAAAATAGACTTTCCTTCTCTAATTTGGTTGCCCGTTTTAGTTGAAACTTTATTCAAGCTTATCAAATTCAACAAAGATATGGCGTGCAAGTGTGACTATTACCTAAATATGGTATGTTACATCAAGAATTGTTGTAATCACTTGGCAAACAAAAGAACATTTCCATTCAAGCCTAATAACTTGAAAACAATACACATAGTCCGCACGCTTTCTCAAGTTTCACTATTTTTTCTTAATCGTACCAAAGTTTAACAGTAATGTTATTTAATTTTATTGGGGTTACAATTCCAATTTAGGTGACGTTAATGTGATGCTAAATGATAGGTTATTAAATTAACGCAACTTAAAATGGGATTATAACTCTAGTGAAGTTGCATAGCATTATTCAAAGTTAAACATAAACGATACACCAAAACAATTTTAATATTTTCTTTGTTTTTAACCATGCTTGGCAACATAAGCAAGTTTTTAACATTGTTGGACCACGGTCCCATAGAAACGATCAAGATCAATTGTTTTCATCTCGAAATCGAAAAGCCAATATCATGTGTCATCAACGATGGACCACAACTCAATACGCGTTCCATAACAAAAATCTCAAATTAACCACACATAGGAAGGGTCATAAGTCCTTGTTCGACAACCATTAAAACAAAACTTTCATTTTTTATCAAATTTATTTTCAATCATACATTTTCACAATAAAATATTTTGTACATAAATCTAAAATTTTCTACTTTTTTAACCATAAATTCTCCCAAAGAAAAAAAAAATCATCATTTTAATGGTTGTCAAATAGGGACGGATAGAGCCTGCCCCAACCCAATTTTAAAGTGAATTATTAAAAAAAATATCATGCTCAAATTCAGCTAAAAAATTCATTTTAGTCCTACCTTACTCTCAGCTTCAACGTAATGTCTAATTTACATCAAATTTTGTACTTGATTGAGTATTTGATCCGCTTAATCTTCTAAATTGGATCTCGTGTGGCATAGAACATCTCTTATAATGTGAGTTCAATAGAAATTTATAAATTTCATCTTACTCGACGTCTTGTTTGTCCTTGACATCATCTAATAGGCAAACATCTCAGAACGCTATTCCAAGTTCCTAGACGACGTTCAAAATTAGGAAATGACACTGTACATGAAATGACTAATGAATTGTCGATATTGTCCACATTCAACACGTTTTTGAATTGTTTGTCTCTTTGCCTTCTCAGTATACGTTTGTTCAAATGTACCTGTCATCTTTAATAAATCCAATTCAAAGTCATGTGAAACAGAACCAAAACCATCTTTCTTGAAATTACCTAACATTTGCACACAAAAAAAAAAAGATTTTAAACATCATTTACACATTTAAACTGTTTACTTGACCTTTGAAGTAATGAGCTATTAACATTATCAATCCTCCTAGAAAATTCATCTAACTAGAAAGTTTTATCGGTAAGAAGAAGATAGCCGAAATGTATTTTAGAAGATTATGAGAGCAACACTACACTACGAGTACTCCAAAGGAGGGAGAGGGTTGAGGAAATGG